GGGGAATCACCCAAGACCCGGAGCCGGCCGAGCCACCGCTGCCACGACCCTCCCTCTTCCACCCCCTCTTTAAAACGCATCGCCTCTGGGTGCTCAGCCCCCCCGTGGCCTTGTGCGAGGCGCAGCGGGGTGGGGGTGAGCCCCAAAAACCTTGGGCGAGGGGGGCACCCAGTGCTCCCGCACCCCGTCCCGTACACCCGGCTCTCCCCGGCATCCACTCCCCTCCCTGCCCCAAGTCCGTGGGAAGAAGCCACGTAATGTACATTTCCAGAGAAGCTTTGGGTGTAAATCAGTGTATACTTGGAGAGGGAAAATTTTTCTATCTTGTAGAGTAGGTATTTTTATAGAATGAAGGTTGATCATTTTTTTAATACTTTAAAGAAGAGAGAAATGTATCTGTGTATACACAAAAGCATATATATATATATGTATAAATATATAAATATCGGAGATCTGCCTTTCTCGACTTGGGATCACGGATCCCCAGTTCAAACAATCGTCTTTTTTTCCTGTCGCTCACAAAGAGGTACTGTAACTGTAAATAAGCACCGGGAAAAAATTTTAAGCAAACAAAGCACTGACTTGCACATTCACCATGCTTTAAAGTCCCTATGGAGGAAAAAAAAAAAACAAAAAAACAAAAAAACAAAAACTGTACTTCCCGAAAATGTTCCTCTTTCCCCACCAGTATGTGAAGGAAGTCCCAAAAAAGAGGCAAAAACAGTATTGTCTTAAATGATGTATCGATTCTTGTCAGATTAAAAGCTGTTACTATTCCTGCCCGGAGACCTTCTTTCCGCAGGGGCGGCTCCGAGCATCGGAGCATCCCGTGCATCCGAGGGCCGGCTCCCCAGCGGGGCTGGATGGGAGTGGAAATGCCCCTGCCCCCAGGAGTGCCCCGATTTTGGGGGGGAAGAGGATGGGGGGAGGCTGGACCGGGCTGGCTCCAGAGGGGCCAAGGTCAAAGGAAGCCAAAATCTGCCAAGCCCTGCAGGTGGGAACTTGGGGGGGGCTTCGCCGTTTGCTGTCCCGGTGGGGTGAGGGACCTTCGGAGCTGGCTTTGTCGTGTGTGTGTGTGTCTCCCAGGGGACACTGCTCTGTCCTGCTGCTCTGGAGGGTTTGGGGAGGCTGAGACGGGGCCAGGCTGTGGCTCGGCACTTGGGGTCTGCTCCAGGTGAGGACACGGAGGCTTTCCCTTTTCTATACTGTGCTTAAACCCCTCCGAGCACTCAGCTGCTCTCTAAACCACCCTGCTAAGCTGCTCCACGCCCCTCTAAGTGTCCCTCCACCTCCTCCCAGCCCCTGTAAGCCGCCCCAAAGGGCTCTAACCTGCAAAATACCCTCTCGGCTCCTGGAGCGCCCCCGGATGACTCCAGACTGTTCCTCTAAACTCCTCTGAGCAGCCCTGCAGCACCCGGAGCTGCTGCAAAGAGCTCTTGAGTGCCTCTGCGTGCTGGGAAATGCCTCTGACGCGCTCTGAGCTCTCTAAACCACCCCAAATTCTTTCAAACTGCTCCACGCTCCTCTGAACTGCTCTGAGCAGCACTGAGCTGCTCTAAAACATCTCTGAGCATCTCTGAAACACCTCTGTAGCACTTAAAACTGCTCTACACCCCTCTAAGCAGCTCTAGCGTGCACCAAAAGTTCTCTAAATGCCTCTAAAAAGTCCTTTAAAAATTCCTCTGAAAAGCTCAACCTCCAACAGCAGGAAGCTGCTCTAGAAATCGGGTAAGTAAACGGCTCCGGGGGCATCGGTGCGGTGCTGGGTTGCTTCAAGGAGCTGTAAACCACCTCTGAACAGCTCGGAGCTCTGGAAGGACGGATCTTTGGGCAGCGCTGGAGCACTTGAATTGCTCAAATAGCTCTCGGGCTCCTCAAACCAGCCCTAAAAGGCACCAAGATGCTAAAACTGCTTGGAGTGGCTCGAAGTAGCTCTTAAAGTCCTCTAAACTCTTCTAAAACGCCTTGAAATAGCTCAAAATGGATCATAAAAAAGATCTTGTAGCAGCTCTGAAGCACTCTAAGCCTCTTCTGCGTGGCTGTGAAACGCCTCGAGTGCTCTAACGCCCTCCGAAAGGCCCCTGAAATTCCTCCGGACCTTTCTGATGTACTTCTCAACAGCGTTAGAACTTTTCAGTAACGTCTCTAAACTTCTCCAAACAGTTCAAAACCGTCCTAAACCCCCTCCGAACGACACCGAAGAGGCGTTAAGCAACCCTGAAACAGCTCCATGCTGCTCCAAAGCTGCTCTAAAACTCATCAAAAAATATTTGTAGCTGCTCGGAAGTACTCAAGCTCTTCTGCACGTCCTCTGAAAAGGTCTCTAAATGTCTTGAAACCTCTCCAGCCTCTTCGAAGCTGCTCCAGAGAAGCCCCAAAGCTCTGAAGATCTCCACATCCTTCAGAACAGCTCTGGAGCTGCTCCTTTTTTTTCTCCCACCCCCCCTCCCACGGCCGGGCAGGGCCGCGGCGCTGTGCGGGGGGGCCTCTGAGCAGCTGCTGGCGGCTCCGAGTTATTATTTATTATAAAAAGTTAAAGGCATTTAAATAAATATATTTGCAATAGGGTTAGAGATTTGTGGAGCTTTCGTAGCTCCAAAACTCCTCGGGGAAGCTGAGCTGTTCTGAAACGCTGCTCTAAACACCGCTGAAGAGCTCCAGCTTCTCCCTTCGTTACGGTGGGACGCTCTGGCCGCTCACGGGGGAAACCAGCAGGCGCCGAACACGGCTCGGACCCCGGT